TCCCCTTGTAGGCGGCAGCCGCCAAACCTCTTCCTCTTGTTTAACTCCTTTCGGGGGCTGATGAAGCTGCGTGTACCTCGCGGGGGCGTCCAGCTTTTGCCGCGGCAGCAGCGCTCTCTGGAGATGCGGGGCTCCCTGCGGGGCGCGCGGCTGCCGCTCCTCAGCGCTTCCCCTGGGGCCCTGTCCCCGCCCGGCCTCTCTGTAGCTTCTCTGTCGCTGCGTTAGGCTGTGGAACCGCGCAGCGCCTTGCCCTGGGCTGTCAAGATCGCAGCCGGGGGATATCGTTCAAATTGTACCGTCTGTGTGGTTCCACAGCCTGCGGGCATTCATCGTAACGACTGTATGGTTGTTTCTGGGAACATGGACAGAAAAATCTGTGTGCTCCAGTTTGATCAAAGTACTGAACGATGTTTGCATACTGCACTGTTCAGAGCAGCAGTTACATCTTCGAGCAGAAAAAAATGCAATAGTTGCTTTATCACAGTATACATCTGAGGCTGCAAGTGCCTTGCATCTTACCACTTTCCAGAAATCTAGTATGTAAATAAGAAAACTTAATGTTAGAATGAGAAACCTGTCACGTTAACTATTCTAATAAAACAGTTCTGTATATTAGATTGAAATAGGATTGTTCATACCCTGTTAAATGATTTTTTTTTTTTTTTTGGTCTTAGGAAATTCATTGCTAGGCTTCCAGATAAGGGTAAGAAGATCTCTGATTTTGCTGAAAAGCTGACGCTTGCTATTTTACAAGAGGAAGAATTAGCAAGGACGGCTGAGCTGTTATCTGCTGTCAGGTTGGAGTTTCAGGTGAAACAGGAGGAGATTAATACAAGCAAACAGCAAGTTATCCTAAACGAGGACACACTAAACCGTGAAGATTCCTCAGTCTTTACTGAAAACTCTAATATTGAAGAAGTTTCTGAGATTTTTTCCCAAAGGCGGGAGGCAGAATGTATTGAGCAAAATGCCACAAATACAGCTCTGGAAAATCAAAGGACTCAGAAGAAAAATGGTAAAGACAAGACTGTTACAAAAGATCAGAATCTTTTTTGTGACGTCGTCTCCGAGTCAGCCATGAGCAGTCATCTGAAAAATGATCAGCAGGTATCTCAGAGCAATACTGAGGATGGTACAGAAAGTACAGGTGCTTTGGACAACAGTAAAGACACGTTGGTTGATGCCTTTCAAAAAGTTACAATTGTAGATGGGGATAATAGTGAAAAAGTATTGGAAAAAGAGCAGAATGTGGCTAAACATAAGGGCAATATCTTTGGAAGCCTGCACCCCAAGACACCACATTATATTGAAGTTCTAGAGTCTAGAGCCAAGAACCCAGTCATAAAAAAAAGCAAATTTAAAACAAATGTGTAAGTATTATGGAATAGAAAAACCTTATGTGAAATAATTGACTTGTATAAAATTGGAAACGGTACAGAACAAGCATGGTGGGTTTATTTTCCTGTGGTGATTAAAGAGATTTAAAGTTCTATGACATGCGAGATTAATATGTTGGCTCTTTAGCACTAAGTGCCACAGAAGCTCAATATTGAGCAGTGGTCTAATTGTACCCATTTGAAACAGTTGTCACGAATCTTCATAGAGTTTCATAGCTTAAGCTACAAAACTATTAAACAATTGGCAAAACTTTCTTGTGGATTGATTCTAGAACTTGTAGAACTTTAATAGCAGGTAGCCTTTTGCTTTTCCTGCATCTCTAGAGAAATTACAATTCACATTAACTGTACTGGTAGCAGTAGCAGTTTATATTTTGTGTGACTCCCAAAGCATTGCTATTTCATGCTTACTAATTAATTGGCGTACCTTTTTTGTTCACTATCAGGAGTAACTTGTAATATTGTCTCTCTGCAGAGAAATCTTTTTCGTTTTTCTGAGTGCTGCTTATTTTTTATTTGTTTATGGTGTCATAACACTTCAGATTTACTTTCAACTCTTACATGTTGAAAGTAACAAGTTTTGGAACTGAAGTTGTTCAACCTGTGCTGCAAATTTGGGTCACAATTTTTATGTTTTACCTCTTCCAGATTATCAGGAGAGCAAAGTGGATCATCGCATGGTTCCTCATCCAGTCAATCACCTGGGGGATTTGGCTCTCCAATTACTGCTGAAGAAAGACGACTTAGAGATAAGAAACATTTGAATGACATCACAGCAGCTCGGCTGCCACCGCTTCACCATTCTCCTGCTAAGCTGTTATCCATAGAGGAATCCATAGCAATTCAGATACAGCAGAAAGAAGTTTATGAGGTACGAATTTAAAATTTGGTCTGAAAAGTAATTATATAATTGGGATCACTCCTAAAAAAAGAAAGCATAAAGGGATCTTTTCATACTGATGAATTTGATGATGAAATTGAGATGGGTAGACTTTGAGGAAAGGCACTTTTTCTTGTATTTGATTCTTTTAATGGTATAATTTAGTAATGTATTAATCCCTTCTGAAACTGTTATTCCTGCATTAAACAAAATCTAATGTTATTCTTCATGTGTTGATATGCTAACCTCATTGCATTCACTTCACCTCTGACTAGAAATTTAAATTTATACCTTGCCTGTTAGTCTTTAAAGAGTTTTTGGCCCTTGCATAAATGAAGGCCTAGCAGTATTTGTTATTCTTAAAATATGCAAGTATCTGCGTTTGCCTTTATTTATGCTGTGCCTGAAGAATCCGAGTTCTGAGGTTCTTCAAATTCTGTTGTAATGGATTTTGATTTTGACTTGCCAGGTAGTGCCAAGCTAATGTTTAAATTAGACACTATTGTAAAAGTGTTTGTTGCTTGCTTATTGTTTTAAAAGCACTTGCTAATTTAGTCATCTTGGCACTTTAAGGGAGGTAAGGTATTTGGAAAATGGAGACACGTTTTTGCTGAATGACAAGCATTGCTATTGCTACATGTTTACTGTGCATAGCTGCTCTCTTATGTGGACTGATGTTGTTCTGTTAAAGCTCACATTAGTGTATCACAGGTGAGGACTGCCACAGGGGAATTTCAAGTCTTGTAAAAGCATCTTCAAATATTAATAGCACAGTTATCTTTAAGTGTGAAAAGAAACCTGAAATTTCTTTGCTAGTTACTAAAACTTTTAATTAAGCCCACTCTGGAACTACTAATATTATTAAGTTAAGTTTATGCTTCAGTATATTAGTTTTCTCATTACCAGGATAAAAATGACAAATTAATACTTTTTCTAACTTGTGTCTTTTTTTTTTTTTTTTTTTTCTTTTATATAGGAAATGCAAGCCAAGCTTGCAGCACAGAAGCTTGCAGAGAGATTGAATATAAAAATGCTCAGGTTTGAACCAGAGGGGGAGGCCTCAATGCAATACAGAGAAGTGAGAGATGAAGATTATTTTTCAGCAGAGGACTGAATTCAAGAAGGGATGTCTGAGGATGAGCCACGTAACTGATCTTTATGCAGTACTTCTTAAAACCCAAACCTGGATATTGAGAATGCTTGATCTAGTCAGTTTTTTATTAAAATTTTAACACCTACGGGAAGGGTTCAATATAAACCTCATAGATAAAAGTGCTATTAAGTGGTAACCCCAGTGTTATTTGGGGACTGTTTTGAGCACTTGGGGCAGTTAATCCTTTTGGAATGCCTCATAGTTTTCAGCTACAGCAAAGTGAGCTCTTTAATACACTTTTGCAGGCTATGGTGAGTCATCTACAAGAGAAGGTTTCTTCTGTGCAGAAATGTGATTGCAAAGAGCATCGGCGCACGTGTCCATAAAGTAAGCTAAGGTGCCTGTGAACGGCTCACGTGTATGAAAGCTCTTGTCATGTATAAATGTGAGATATTTCTTTTATCTATTTAAGATTATCTTTTACCGTATGGTGAAAATACATGCCCGGACAGCTACAATGAATATGTGATAGTTAGGCTGTAAGTTAGCTTCTTATCACATGAGAACTTGTTTCTGTGCCCGCACCTTAAAATAACACTTTCTGCCCTTATGTTGTAATAAACAGGTTAAGAATTTCAAGTTATTTTGTAACTCAAACTCAAATTCTCTTTGGGCTTTAAGGGACTCTGCTGTTTCATTTTTGGTGATTACTGCAAAGCACATCAAGAGATCAAGTTAATCTGAAGGCTTTAATATTTTTATTAAAGATCTTGGTGTTTTTCTGTATTTTTGTACACTGTTTTCATACTTTGGAATACTATTTTTTCATAGTCTGATACTGTAAATTGAGAGATCCACCCTGTGGTTTTCTTGGAGAAAATGTTCTGTGTATTTTGCAGTTTTAGCTGTTCTTGGAAGAAAAAAAAATTTCTTCCTTACAATAACATTTTCTGCCTTTTAATATGAATTTTGAAAGATAAGGAGAAGTATTTCACAATGATACTCCACTGTTGACTAGGATATTCCAGCCCTAGTATGACTTCAGTTCTGAAAAACAAACCTCAGAGATTCCCTGTATAGCCTGGCAACACCTGTTTTCCGAGATGCTGCAGCAGCAGCAGTGTGTGCAGGGGCAGCTGTGTGCGCAAGGCTCTCCCTGGATGTGTACATATTCCTGCAGGAATGGTGTCTCTGCAAACCAAGGGTGCTCCAGATGTGAGTCATTCAAAAAGCTGCACGATGTCATCTAGAAATGGGGGATGAAAGTCTCTGCCACTTCTTGAGTGCATACAGCACTTTACTAGCAGGCAGTAACTCTCTCCCAAATGCTCCACAAGCTCTCCCAGGCAGTCCTTGTGGTACAGTCCATACCCTGGCAATGCAGTTTGACAGGTGGAACGGCTGCTAAGCTAATATGTGGTATTTTTTGACTAGGTCATCTGTTGCTCATCTGTGATGCCTCTTTCCTGTACCCTTTTCTCTCACAGGTGTCTTGTTCTTATTGTTCATTGGCTTCTCATCAGCTGTCTGCTCTTCCCTTTTCCTCATAAGACTTCTCTCCTGTTGCTAAAGCAAATTCATATTCTGCATCCCTGCATCACCCATTCCCTTTCATATGACATATCGCTTCCTGTATCTGCATTTAACTTCTGCCACATTACACATCCTTCTGCTATTGCTATCTTCTCTTGCTTTCTGTAACTCCATCTAAATACCAGCTGTGCACCTGGGAACCTTCTACATACCTCAGTCACTTGAATATCTTGCAGAGACCTGTATGTCTTTGTGTTTTTGCTGCAGCTGCCCTCCTACTGAGGCTTTCCTTTCTTATTTCCTATTGTGGTTTCAGACTGTGGAGGTGTTTGCCACTTCCAGGCCTTATAGCCTCCTTTTTATCACTTTATCCTGTTTGTTTGTTTTGGTTTGGTTTTTTTGTTGTTGTTGGTTTTGTTTTTTGGGGGGTTTTGTGCTTCTGCTTCATCCTCCCAGCTTCTCGCCACCACTTTGTTTTTGTCGGCACTATTTTGGCACATTTTCAGTCATTCACATTCATCCCTCAGCATCCATGTTGATGACCTATCTGATCCCTCAGTTGTATGTATTTCTGCCCTCAGTGTCTTCCTTCAGCGTGGCTCTGGCTCCACAGGCCAGTGCAGTGCTCTTCTCTTGTGGATGCAGTTCATCTCTCAGATGACCATTGTCCATGCTACCACCTGCTCGTCCAGCTGGGTCTTGTCATCAGTCCTCCCATTATTTCAGTCTGTTGTACTGATTAAGGACAAGAGGCCTCAGAAGTGTATTTGCTTTCCCTTTGCTGTTGCATGAAGCACAAGTTACCACTTCCAGGCCTGTTTGCATCTCTCCCCCTCATTAAGATCATCACCCTTGTGCCTGTATTGACTGTGCTGTCACACCTTTTAAGTTACTGTGTGTGGTTTTTCCATGCTGGCTTTTCTGTGCTAAAGGAATTTACACAAAGCTACACAGTTAAGAATTTGTTGTCTAGGTTACTGAAATCTTGCTCAACATAGGCTTCTGCTGACCACTCTCTTATGCTAACTAAAATTACGCTCTTTCCTTGTGCTTTTAAGGTTTACTTTTGCTCTCTAAACTTTGTGAAGCAGAGGCAGTTATCTTAATCTGTATTTTGATAGCATTCAACATGTTGGGACTTTGCCAAAGTGGATCCCTTGAATGGACAAACTTCACACTTAAGGAAAAAAAAAAATCACTATAGTAACAGGTGAAGTGCATTATATATTTGTTATACAATTAGCAGCTGTTCAGCACAGTGCTGGGGGAGTCCTTGTGGAAGAGTGTGCTGCGTGAATACAAAACCAAGCTTAAGGTATGAATTTTAAGTTATTGCTAAAGGGTTTGTATTACTGCAAAACCTGGAAGCTTTCATGGGGTTTTTTGGTCCTAAATTCAGAGCACAAGTATGTACTTTGAATTAAGATTTTGTGAGTGATAAGAAAGCAAAGAGTCAGGTATAAAGAGAGCCCTGTGTTAAGGGGGATGTGCAATCCAGAAGTTTGTAAAAGTTTAGAGAATAAGAGGATGAATCTTGAAATGGTTTAGTCATATTGAGTTAAGTTTCTGATCAAGTATGGTATTGCTGTTGTGTATTTCACCATTGTCCAGTTCCAGAACATTTCAAAATGTACACTGAGAATTGAGGAGCTTGCTCTCTTTTTTGGGAGTGGACTGTTTTATTGGAGTGGGCTGTTAACCCAGTAGCAAATAAAGAATTGAAAATGTGTTTCTGAGGTTCCTCATGTTTTGACCATGTGAAGTTTGCAGTTGCATTTTGGGGAAAACCGGAACCTTTTGCTTCAGTGCGCCACAAGGAGAACACTGGAGATGATGTTAGGAAACATAAAGAAAACTTTTGGGAATGCAAATGGATGAGAAAAGATCTATAAGACCTAAAGCTGGGCAATTGTGCAGGTCTGAAAGATGGCACAGAGACAGAGCTTAAATGGTGTGCTGCAAGACTGAGAGCTATAGCAGGTATCTGTGCAGCTGTAGTCCCTTAATTTTTGCATTGTTAGGAGTACCTGATCCCCAAACTGCACAGAAGAAAAGCACCTTTTGGCTCTAACAGAGTTTCTGTTCACAGCTGTAACCTTTCCCAAGGGAGAGAACATGCAATCTGGTTTGCCAGCTGTGGTGATAACATGATCTAGAGGATTTAGCAGCCTAAAAATTTATGTTAGGTATTTGGGAAATAACATTTGAAAGAAGAAAGACCTAAATGCTGCTGTACTTAATTGTTTTGGGGGTATATAAGAGTAACTAAGGGTAGAAAAGATGCAGAAGTTTTTCCTGGATTTTAGAGTTAGACCTAGCTCACAGGTCAGCAGTTCTGTTAGTATTTTTCTGTCTGATGGCTTGTGGACTGCTTCTAAGGGCCATGCGATCAAAAAAAAAGTCAGTGGCAGTAAGCTGCAAGTTCCTGTGTGGAGGAAATGGGGCCTGCAAATTGAGAGAATTTGAAAACCAGGCTCTGTGCTGTGGAATTTCTGAACCCGTCACAGGGATGCAGTATCAGGAGTCAAGGAAAAGAATATCCAGATGCTACAGACTGATGAATTGAAACTGAGTGGGAAGCCATGGCAAACGCTGGTCATGCTCCATGAGCAGCCCCTGGGCAGTAGTTTGGGGGTTTCTGTATGGAACTTGCAGACAATTCCCGTATCGCAGACACACCACAAACTGGCAGCCTTTAGCAGTCTCGCGGAGGAGGTAGAACCTGACTAGCCTGAGTTGTAGGTGGAGATCTGGCTCGCTGGTTGTTTTGTGCAGCTCCATTGCAGAGCCAGTTCCCTGGATCCAAGAGACTGACTGTAATCTCAGTTGTGTACCATGCTGGGTTTTGCCAGTGAAAATGATCTGTAGTGGGACCCTGTTCAGAACATTTTTGGCCTAATTTGAGTGGTATTTGGCTTATCATCTGCCTTTAGCAAGTTAGTGCCTGCAAGGAGTATCCTTGGGCCAGGGGAATTGCAATGAATTCTTGGCCTTTTATATCAAATGAATGGCATAAAGGGGACAGGGAATGGGAGTCCTGCGTTGGAAGAAGCTGTGTCCTACCCTTTAGGGAAAGGTGGCTTTTCTCTGCTTTGCCAGCCTTGCTTCTTTTTCAGAGCAGTATAAGAAGGAAGCGTAATTTCTCCAAAGTGTCTTGTAAGGACAAATTTTTCAGGGAGTAGGTCTTGCATGGTGTGGTCTTGTTCCAGGGAGGTGCTGACTGAACTGTATTTTTCCTGAGTTTGTGGGTTCATGTTTTGTTGCAAGTCCACTGCTCTTAGGGTGGTATGTGTGGAGATCACCACTGAGATTTCCTGGTTTCCTAATGTTTGTTTTTAGGTTGTGAACTCCCACGTTCTGGGAGGGAAAGGGAAGTAGAAAAGACAGCTGTGTGAAAACAACATTTATTTTGCTGTGGTATTTTTTTCTTTTTCACTAAGCTAATGATTGTGTTTTATTCTCATACTTCTGCGGTGCTGTGTCACTGCTGATATTATGGCAGGCAAATGTTAGCCTACTGTAGTCCAAACATTTTACACTCACATTTACTTTTCATGGGATATGAGTACTTAACTCCATTTGACTCCTTTGTAAATGCTGTAATTATTATTCCATATGTAGGCAAAGCTTTAGAGGCATTTAGTCATCTTTTGTTTAAAGCAACTGTTTCGATCATTTGGTTATTAAGATTTTATTAAATTGGCCCTTGATTTGGTGAAGCGTGAAAGCATGTACTGAAGTCAAAGCTTGATTCCTCTAGGAACATTTATGTGCAAGTGCTCTGTTGAACTGGGATATTGGCTCTGTGATTTGTTTAATCTCTGTGTGAGAGG